GTGTTGTCCCTTATTATCAATGCAAAATGGTCACTAACTAAAGAGGATTTATGCTGATATTGCCCAAAAACCCTATTTTGTTCAGGCGTTTCCAAACTTTTGGAGGGCAGTGTAGTTTTCACAATGTCTTTGCGAAGTCTTGCCAATACACCCCATCGCATAAGTTCTGTTTAACCTTATTGCCATGCCTGTGATTTCCCTATTCTTTTGGATTATCCTTATCTGTTTGATGATTGATGCCTGACTGGGTATGACCTGTTTCTTGACTAATTTTTCAGTTGTGTTTTTATCAAACTGAGCCTGGTTCATTACAGGCATGCAAATATTTTTTTTTTTTACAGAGAAAGAGATAAAGTGAAGGAATATTGTGGAGAGGAGAAAGAAAAATAAAAGCCAACTGTCAGTGTAACCAAATAGGTCAAGTGGAACAAAGGATGGGAGACAAATGAATTATGCACACAACTTTAGGCGTCTAGGGTGAGTGCAGAAAGGGAAGTGGAACATGGAGAGGAACGAAGAGGACAGAGGGATGGGAGAAAGAACTAAAAAGCTTTTCTGAAACAGTCACTGTAGGGCTTAGAGGGTGATACTGGCAAGAGCAGAGTCCATTGAGAATCAGCATCTATTTCTCCTCCAATTTTTCTCTCTTCTCGTTCGACATCACATCATCTGAATGTCTCTAACATCTCAGGGTGAGACTGGAAGTGGATGGTATCCACTTTTTTACCCCCTGGATCACATTTTCTGTCTCAAATTGATTATCAACTTAACAACCAGCCTACAGACTCCCATCAGTTTGTGCCTTTTTAAAATGTTTTTATGCTTGGTGCAAAAGAAATGATTTTAAAAAATGTTTTGATGAATATGGTTTTGTCAGGATTCTTGGATAATTAAAAATGAATCCGTTTTAATTTAATTTAATTTATTCAGATACTAGGTTCAATGTAGATAAATTATGAAAAAGACAAAGTGAAATTGAAATAAAATCAAATTCATTTAACTCTGCTGCATGTCATTGCACAAGTATTACAATGTCTTTCAAGATGTATTTAAATATGCAAATTGATAAATAATTTTTGTTCTTTTTTTAAACAAATGGACTTGAATTGAGTTTTTTTTTTAAATACACCCTAGTCGTCAGAGTTTCACATAAAGGTTTGTCATAGAAGTAAGAATATAAAATCACATTTATTTGACTACGTATTTTGCATAGGAAATAAAATAAGATTCAAGATTCGAGAGTTTTATTTGTCGCAAACTTCTGTCAAACGTTTTCTTATTGAAATACGGGGTTTATATCAACAGGTTTCAATTTGCTTTTATGTGTTGCAAAAGTATGGATGTTATAGGTGGAAAAAAAAAAATCTTGAAAATGAAAAGGGAAAATTGGTCGCAGAATCGTCGTTTTTGCCCGTGTTGATCGTATTTACTCAGAAATGACAATTCCAGAATAAATTACACATAGCATTTTTACAGATTTCCTGTAGATTTCCTGTCACTTCCTGTCATTTCATGTAATTATTACAGATTTCCACTTCCCCACTCAGCACTGACTGTACAGTATGTCTGGTCAGTTTCTGGTGGTCATTACGAGCGCTATGATTTCTGAGCTGCATCTCTGGACAAACTTTCGCAACAACACTGTGTGTCACTCCAGCTGACAAGCTGGACATGCTTCCATGGGGACGGAGTGTCAACACACCAGTCAGCGCTCCTTGAGGACAGCAAACAAAGCAGAACGAATCCCAGCGGTCATCCAAACTCCGCTTCTATTTTATTTATGAATGTGAGACCAAATGATCTACATTAAGAGAACGCTTTGCACTGATCGTACTCATATTAACTGTGTATGTGCGTATATGTGCGTATGCTGAGATTTATTTTTGAACTTCGCTTCTCTCTCATCATCCGCCAGCCAGCAGATTGTCAGGCAGAAAGTGTCTACCTCGTCAGGTATTATGAGCCATCTGTCTCGCTATCCTCTGCCTCGGCGCGCACCATTCTTCCGCCTCCACTCTTCTGCCCTCATGTTTTACTCATGATTACAGAAAGCTGGCTGCAAATCCCCAGCTTTGGGAAAGGTGACAGGGAGTGTGTGGTGCTACAGCCCCATGGCGTTTTGCGAACAAAATGAGTGAAGATGCGGGATTAAAGGAGGATATCTCCATGACCTGACCT